GTGGGGTGGTGAAGTGCCGCCCGAGGGCGAGAGGCACGGACGGCTCAGCCCCGCTAGCAGGGGTCCTGCTTCCCTCACTAGGGCAGCGTGGGCTCGCACAGGGTGGGGATGCGATGGGACCTCAGATGGAGCTGGCGTGCACGCTGGGCACAGCTCTGGGTGCTCTCAGCACTGCAGGGTGCGAGCACGAGACCCACCAGCGCCTGGGACAGCCCTTCCTCTTGCGCCCGGCTGGAGTAAACCTGGGCTAACCCTGAGGAGGATCTGGCCTCCTCCCCTCCGCCTGCTCCCCCCACAAAAGAGCCAGGAACAAAAGCTGTGGTCAGAAACGTCCCAGCTCTGGTCAGGCGGGCGCAGGCAGCGCTCAGCTCTCATCCTGGATTTACGGCCGGGGTTTTGGTTCCAGCCAGCCGTGGCAAGGAGCTATCAGCCTTTCAAGTGTGTACAAAACCCAGTAACCTCTCCTCACACAGGGGAGTTATTAAAGCTGTTCCCACAAAGCAAAATGAGCCGAACCGCTTCCCACGCCTGGGCGAATCTGTTTTAGGCAGTGGGAAAATCCTTTCCCCCCCCTGTGCTGGAGCCGGAGCTGTCAGCGATGTGCTCAGCTCTGCCTGGCCCAGCATGGGTCAATGCCACACGCTCCTCTTCTGCCTTACAGGAGGGCGGAAAGCCGGGGAACACCATGGCAGGGGTTTGAACCACGCTGGTGTGCTGGGGTCTGCAGAGTGCTGCTGCCTTCTGCGCTGCTCCATCTCCCTGCGCTCTGGTGAGGAGCATCGGGCTGCTCTCATGCTGGAGAGGAGCTCAGTGCCTGGAGATCGCCCGGCTTCCCCTCCACCCTCAGATATTTTCAGTTTACAGATTTAGTATCTGCAGTAAATGGGCATCTTAGTTTACAGCGAGAGTTTACAAAGCCTGGGAGATGGGTCATTACAAATACACGCTCTCTGGCAGACCCCACAAGTGTAACGGCTGCTCTGCAGAAGGCCCTTAGCTGGCTGCGCAGTCACGGCACAGTACGGCCTCTGCTTGTGCTGAGCCAGCGTGGAGCAACAGTGGGGAGAAAAAGTGGGCGCCAGGGCTGCACAGGAGGGCTGGAGCAGCGACACAGCCAAAGGGAGGTCAGAGCTCCCCTGCGAGCC